TTCAGGGCCCAGCTCCATTCCCCAGCTTCTCCAGGACACCACACCCACCCCTTCTTCTGCCCTACCTTCCCCAGCACTGTTATTATGGTTCACTGTGCTGAACTTAACAGGATGCCTCATGAGGAGGGAAATCTGTCCTGCTTACTTCCAGAAGCCCAGCAGAGAGCTGAGCAAAAGCTGCAGACTGACACACATCTCCTCCCTCATCAATCAGATTTTGACTCTGGGAACAAGGAAGAGCCTCCATGCCCAGGAGACATCAGGCAAAGGTAACTAACTTCCTCCCCCTGAGGAGTACAACTCAGAGTAATGAACACATTGGCTAGACTGCCTTGTCCTTAACTGGAAGGGTGAGAGGGGTGGAGCAGGCATAGCTCTAGGCCAGTGGTGATGAGGAAGATGTGTAGGAAAAGTGGTCCTGATGAGGCTAAGGACTGGGGATATCTGAAGACCAGGATTGGTCAAGGATGAGGCCAGGGTCAGGGTCATGGTTAGTGTTAGAAACAGCTTCAGAAGCTCTGCCAGTCTGTTTGTTTTGAAGGGAGGAGTGGAGGAGAGATGGTACGAAGAGGCTCAAAGGGGCTGCAGCTGGGCTAGGAGGAGGAAGCTGGGGGAGACATGAGGTCAGTGTGGGGCTGGGACCAGGCCAAGGGCTGAGTCTCTCTTTTTCTTCCCCTTCTCCCATTAGCAGGGGCAGAACCAAAGACAGCCTAGTTCCCAGCCTTAAAAAAAAATTCACACTGGAGAATTCTCCACCTCTTGCCATTCTCCACCCTTCAGCCCCTGCAGAGGATCCTGCACTCCACGGACAGGGTAAGAGACGGAGCAAGTTGACTTTACCCACTAGGGACTGCAGAGGAGGAGGAAACAAGACAGCTATAGCTGGGAGGGCTGTGGGAGGCTGGGACCCTTTCACTCAGTCCCAGTTCCCTTCCTTCTTCTCTCGGTGTCCCAGCACCTGGGACGCTCCACACACAGTAAGTCCCAGGGTTAGGGCAGCTCTGGCTGGGGGAGCTAAGGAGGCTGCCCCTCCCCCACCAGGCAGCACAGAGGAAGGCACAACACTTGCTTCCTCCTGCCTTCCTCCTCCCCACCTAACAGCAGCTCAGCAGTCCTGGGGCCCCATGAAAGGCCCGTGAAGTGGCACTTCCTTTGCCTTTGCTCATTTCGCACGAGGCTGTACAGAAGTGCCATCCTCCCAATCCTGCCTCCCCCACCTGAAAATACCCAGACCCGGGGCTGCCCAGTCCCTTGAACCCCGCCCCAGATCTGAGGGGGTTTCCACAAGGGAAAAAAACATCAGGGAGGAAACTCCGGCATCTATTTTCCACTGTCAGTTGGGGCAGAGCTGGAGCAGGGCACCGGGTACCCCCCCACATTGCTGAGCCCTGGCAAATTCCTTGACACTCTCTGCCCTCTTCTCTTGTGCTTTGGGGAAAGGGGCCACAGTACTTGTCCCAGACAGATACTTAGACCTGTTCAAGGCTGGGCCCAGAGTCAGGGGCACAGCTATGAGGAGCCTCTTGAGGGAAAGAGAGTCAGAGCCATCAGTATTCTGTATGCTCTTTGGAAGTATTGATAGGCAACTTCTTAATCTTGAAGCTGAGCCACAAGAGACAAAGCTGACTAGGGTTATACAGAGGGTTGCGAGCAAATCCAGGACAAGGACCTGGGTCTCCTGACCTCCAGCCTAGGAATGGGCCTATCTCTCTGACCTCATTCAGGATGACCCTACCAGGGTTTATCCCTTCAGGAAATGGGCCAAAGGGGCCAGATTGGCGTCTGAGCCCGTTTTCCTTCCAGGGCCTCATGCTTAGCCCATGCCGGGGCAACCATGATTTAGAACTGACATTACTGGACAGACAGCCACCCTGAACTAGCTGAGGAGAGCCTCCTCTAGGCTTAGCTCCTGGGGAGATGCCCTCCCCCCATGACATGAGGACAAAAGAGGAAGCTGGACCCTGGACAGGAAAACCGATCTGTTCTGGGGAGGCGGCCCAGGCTTTGTCTTTGGTTTCCCTCCTCACAGAACCCTACAAGCCTCACCACTAATGGGTCTATACTCTGTATGGAGAGGGGTCTTCAGTCTGGGACCACATTTTCTTCACAGTTGCCCTGCCACCCTCATTCTTATATCTTCCCAACTGTCTCGCTACAGCCACAACCTCTCAAATCTTCCTGCTTATTACCCCCTAAAAGCTCACACCAGCCACCTCATCTGCCTTAACATCTTGCCAGAAACAACTCTCCATATTCTCAACCAGGATCTGTGACAATCTTGTATCAGCCACTTCTGTTCATGTCAAGACCTTGACCATATTTCTTTAGCCAAGACCTCAAGGGCAGCCTCCCTTGAGGGATATAGCAGGCACATATCCCCCACCGTCATCTCCCCACAAAATATTTCCCCACTTAGATTCCTCCCACCCTGGTTATATTTTTCCAGCAGTTAATTTCATGCAATTAGCTCAAACCTCCAGCGGGGCCAGATCTTGCCTGGGAGAACCCCTGTCTCATCCATCCTGTCTTCACCCTTAGAGTCCTGTGGGTTGCTCAGTTATCTAAAATAAGTACTGGTTTGGCAGGTGGGGAGTCAGGACTCCTGGATGGTTTTTTACTGAGCCCTGATGCTGGGAAAGTGCCTTGCATACATATCCTTCCCCGAGCTGGGATTTTTATGTAGGTCCCTGGGATTTCCTGCTGGGGCCAAACCCCCCTGTACCTCCCAGAATCAGAGTAGCAGAGACAGGAGTGTGGAGGAAGGGACAATCCATGGGAGAGGGACAACGGTGAGAAGGGAAGAGGACAGAATGGGGAACAGGGATAGTCCTTAAATCTAGCTGTGCTTGGGAATCCAAGCAGGATCTCTCAGCATGCATCCCAAAGACTTAAAGAAGGAGCTCTAGAATGGGAACAGCAAGAGCTTATAGAGCCAGGCTGGAATGCAGTTAGCCTTGGAAGAAATTCCGGAAAAGAGAGGGAATAGGGTCCTAGGTGAGGGGGGAATATTAAGGATGCGTGAAGGCAGAGGGGTGAGCAGAACTCCAGAGAGCTTCCTGGTCACCAAGGCCTTGATGCAGCCCTGGGCACGTGGGAATCTGGCCTGGGCAGGCCTTGGAAGGCAGCAGGAAAGAGGGGGCAGACACCTTTGCCTCATACCCTTCTTTTTTTCCTGAATTGGAACTACCACAGTTAAGACTGAACTTAGACCAGCTATAGTCTTCCCTCCAGAATCCTGCCTTTACTCCTCCCTTTCCTTCCATCACACCTAGCTGACCTGGTCCCATTGTCCCCACAAGGTGGTGCTGGAACCAGTGAGCACCGGAGTCAGGGACCTTTAGGCTGTCCCCCAGCCTCCAGGCCTGGCCTCTTGATCAAGACCCCAAGGGTCTGGGGGATTTTGATTTCCCACGGCCTCTCTCACCAGTCCTATTCCTGTGTCACTCTACCCTGATACCCTGACTGCTACAGACTGCTTCCTCCTACCTAACCACAACCTCACCCACTGCAGGTTCCCTTCATTCTGCTGGCTTCCCTTGCTCTGGGCCCTCACAAAGCTGAGGGCAGTTATTTTGTCTCCAAAAGATAAAGATGTGGACATGCAGACACTTGCATGCACATACACATATACAGAGGTTTTCCAGCCCTTTCATCACCTCTACCAAAGGGACGCTGCAGCCTGCCTCTCTGAACTAGGGAGGTCTGAAAAGGCTCCCCAAAGCTGGAGATAAGTGGCAGAAAGGAAAGGAGGAGAGAGGGATCCAGAGGAATGAGGGGAGATAGAAGAAACAGAGGGTGGATATGTGTGCAGGAGCCAGAAGCTGGGCATGGAAGGGAGGGGGAAGGCCACTGGGAGAGGACAGAGATGGACAGAGAAGCAGGGTAGGTGAGAGGTCAGGGCCCAGGCATGACTGGTGGGGAGAAGGGACTGAAGAGAACGCAAGAAGAGGGTGACGGAGGGTTCGTGTCTGAAGTCTGATGGAATCTGAAGAAGGAATGGAGGAAGACAGAATGAGAACATGTAGAATTCAGGGACTAATAAAGGGGACGGGGGGAAGACCAGGAGATGGCTCCTGATCATCTTCCAAGGCTAGAGCCTCGTGCTGCCTCCCAGAAGCCCTGTTCTCTCCATCTCCTGAAACCAGTCTCGCTCTCCTCAAGTCCTGCTCTCCTGATGCCATCTCCTCAAGGACTATCAGTACCTCTGAATAAGAGTCCTTTCACCTCTAGTCACAGGGCAAGACAAGGTCCCTTCCTTCCTCAGTTTACCCCGCAAAGACAAAGCCAGGCACTAGGCAGCTAGGCACAGCCGATGTCTGCTCACTAAAATACCTGTTGCTCTGTTCCAGGGATGGAGATGGTGGGCCTCAGAAAAACAGACATAAAGAGAGAAGGATTGGGGTCGGGGGGCTCCCCCACCCTCCGCCTGAGCGCAGAGGACCCTTAGGTTGCAGGCTGCGGCTGTGGGTCTGGACCGGCTTCGATCTTCCAGGGAAGGAGCTCTTTCTCCGCAGCCTCGGGCTTCAGAAGCAACAGACAGCCTCTCTCTCTACCTCACAAGTGTCACAACTGCCAAAGCAGAGGGAGCGCCTTCTCTAGCCCAGAGGCCCCTTCCTCTCAACACACTTCGTAATAGCCCCCTGCAACTCCTGGGGGCACCCCACCTCTGAGTCCCATCTCCCAGCCCTAAGCTCTTCCACTCAGAGACTTTTCTCTCGGAGCTGGAGACCCTCCGACCTCAGGAGTTCCTCGCGGCTCCCGGGGGCCGGTACCGCCGCCCCTGGCACAGGAACCCACAGTCACCGAACCGCCGCCGGCTTGCAGTGGCCCGTCCCCGCCCCGCCCGGCCGGCCGCGCCCGCCCAACTTGAAGCGAGCCGAGCACCTCCCGCCGCGGCCTCCCGCAGCCAAACTTCCCGGGCCCGCGAACGCGTCCAGTCCGGGGCCGGCCGGGCTCCCCTCCCACGGACCCCCAGCCTGCCGGCCGGAGCCAGGCCTCACCTGGTGCCCTCCCCGCCGTGGGGGAGCTGGGGGGCGGCGGCAGCGGGTCGGGGCTGGAGAAGGAAGTGAGAGCAGGCGGCCGGAGGAAGTGGGGGGGGCGGGGCGGCCGGGGGGGGGGGGG